TGCTCGGTTTGAACTGCAGGAGATTGTCTTGACCATGTCTACATGCCTAAATGCACTGAGTTGCCGCCATGTGATTGGCTGATTAGAAATTAAGTGTTTAACGAGCAGTTGGACAGGTGTACCTAATAAAGTGGCCGGTGAGTGTATATTGTAACCATAGCTGCCCTGGGGCACACTGACAGAGGCGGGCCTGCCATGCACTGGCGCCACCGGACTCTCAGACCACCATTGGTAAGGTGAGTGAAGTATCTTGCCCAAGGACACAACAACTGAGACAGCTGGAACGCAGGATTGAACCAAAAACTTTCCAGTTACAGGACGAGTAATCAGTCCACCAGTCACCCCATTAAGACTTATTTGTGGGCTGTGTCGTCTTCTGTTGCCACTGAATGTGTACTTAAATTACAATCTGTAATGAATGCTTGTTGTTCAGTGTATCTTTTGGTCATTGGATTTTCCTTTTAGAAACGGGTCTTAAAAAAACAAGAAACAAGCTCACAATATCTAAGTTATTCAATAAACATCCCATTACAAGTAAAAAACATTGATACTGACTTCAGTATGAAAATAATTTGCCAAGTATTTATTTGGTATCAGTTCGATATCAAAGTCGTAGTATTGCCCACCCCTCACTGAGGAACACCTTAAGGATGCGAACTGACAGAAAACAGCACTGATTTTGTCAAAACTTAGGAGGGGGAAAAAAACCTTTCTGCTTACAGAAAAACAACTATACAATTCACTAATAGAATTAAAGTTGTCTTATTTTGCTTTTTATTGAGAGAAATGTAGGTGAAGTGAAGGCAGTAGCTGACGTGTATTCAGTAAAAGAGACTTATTTGACCAAAAGCCACACGAAGTATCTCTGCAAAGCCTTTGGTCACAGAGTGACAGTCATCATACAACTCATTTATGGACATATTCATCTGTGTTTCAGCCTTTTATTCACAGAAATTAGTGTTTTATTATGCAGAGCTGCCAGGTGAGTGCCCCTTCTGGTGGGGGAATAGATAGTCATAAACAAGCCTTTTTTTTGTTTCTGTTTTAAAGTAATTTTAGTTTTTGCTATCTGAAACAGAAAATAAAAAGAAACTCAAATCATTTTTTAAATTTCGTTCATCCCTTTTTGACACTAAGAATGAGAAACTCTTTGTATTTCAATTTTAATTTCAGTATTTTAAAACAAAAATCTAATATCCACTTGTTTCTTGCTTTTTAATACCCGTTTCTGAAATGAAAATCCAATGACCAAAAGACACACAGACCCTTGTTGAGGTGTTTCTCTTCACTGTCTCTCTTTAATTTTTGTTTTCTTATTTCAGATCTATGTTCATCATGGTATCCATGATTTAATCTTTAACCTTGTGGGAACTCTTGAAGCCAGCCATGTAAGTTTGAGCTCTTGCTCATCTACACAAGCCTTGTAGGTGTTCTTGGGTACATATGGGTCATTCTGTGTCAAATCACCTAAAAGAAGATATTTTAACCCGACCACCTCAGATTATGATGAAAACTGGTGTATTTGCCAAGTGTGATCCCACAGCACAGCATCTCAAATTAAAGATCAGTCGGACCAGTGGTTCTAAAGATGTGCCCAAAATTAGTATTTTCTTCAAAAATGGGTGTGTCCACCTATTTTCAACCCCAATTATCTCAGGAACTACTGGGTCAATTTTTACAAACTTGCTATTGTTGGAAAAAGAATCCAATAAGGATTATTTGAGTTTTTTTTAACAAATCAGATAAAGCTACAGCCAGTGTGAGTTTGGTCCAAAGAGGCATAGAAAAGATCATGCGTTTAATAGACCATAATCAAAAATGCAAGGCAGATTTGAAATCCTTATCAAATTCCAGTCCAAATGAGTTTTCTCTGCAGGATAGCTGGACTCCATTACAGATAGGATGAGAAGTTCAGTTATTTGAGAGGGACTAAGAGTAGAGCTGCTGCTCCTCTACATTGAGAGGAACCAGTTGAGGAGGTTCGGGCATCTGGTTTGGATGCCCCCTGGATGCCTCTCTATAGGGAGGTGCTTCAGGCATGGATATCTCTGGAACCACTGGACCAACTGACCTAGAATTTGCGATTCTCTTTAACAATGATATAAAAACATCAAATTTTGTTCTTGTGTAGTCAGAGTGAGTGAGTCCTGGGCTCATTACAGTATATTAGACCAACTTGACTCAACCACAGTTAAATGTTCACTCCTGACTCTAAACATCAAACATTTTGTAGAATTTATTGCAACAACATTTGCTGAAACAGCACTAGAAGACGAATACAGATAGATACAGAAACACCTGCTCTGTAGTACTTTCAACATGTTCACTACAGCAATTATCTGCTGCTCATCAACAGGATGCTGCCTTTAATAAAACCACCAGGAGTTTGCAGGATCTGCAGCAGAAGGAGCTTGGAGTCAAACCAGAGTTCTGGTCAGTTCTTCACCATCAACCCTTCAGAACAAAAGCCCCTCAGAGTTAAAGCATATGAAACAGCTGTAAAGTCCATAACTTACCTATTTTTATTTATTGAATATGATCACTTTGATAGAATTATTATATTATTATTATTTAGAATTATTTTATAGAATTATTTGATGGGACCAGTAGTTTAGTCTAATCTTTTTTTGTCTTGAAAGAGCAGACATGACATGCACATTCTTAGCCTTATTGTGATTTAGCTTCTTACTAACAGGATCCTTTATAGACAGGCCTGCTTGTTAACCTGATGAGAATTATTTTTAATAAACCAGAATTTTGCTCTCTAGCTTTTAGTATGTTTAACTTCGTTTTGGTCTGGTTTGTGACTGATGTGTTCTTTATGTTGTTGTTCTTCAGTATAAACTTGTCTCGGGCAAAAAGAGAGCTGAGTCAGCTTAACCAGCAGAAGTCACCCCTCCTCAAACTGTTGTGCCTGCGCAGAGTTGTCCTGACTGCCACCCAGACCACAAGACGCACAGGTAAATACTCAGGTTCTACACGAAGAGAAGCAAAAAACAGAAAGAACCTAAATCAGATTGTTTCGAGAAATGCTGGAACAACTTGGTAACAAAGTCTGTCTGTCTGTAAATTCAGGAGAGAAAAGAGGGATTAAAACAAGAACCTATTGACATTGTACATGTTCTGCCTGATTAAGTAAATAAATAAATAAAATAAACATAAAAGTTACAGATTTATTTTTATGTAATTGCAAAGAAAAAAATGGTAACATGAAAAAAACAAGCAAAACAAACCAGGTCTACAGTTCTATAAGTGAAGCTGTTTCTTTTCCCGTCTGAGGAGCGTTCTCTACTGAAAACCGGAGAGTGTCGAGTTCCAAGCTTTAGTTCATCAGGTGCTTTGCTTATGCAGCTAAATTCACATGGAGATTAATTTTACTGCCCTCCCTCCTGAGGGTCTGTTCAGTGTTGTTTCGGGATCAGGCTAAATGCTGCATTGTAGATTTTAGAAAGCTAAAACTGGAGAACTCCTCTTTTTGTTTGAAGTTGATGCTTTTCTAAACAGACCTAAATGTCTTGCTTCACTTCCTCTTTCAAAATTTGAACTCTGCATCATTTAGTTTTTCCATTATATTATCCATGCATGGACCAGCACCACATAAACCAACCTAACAAACCTAACTGGGCCAGTCGAGGCATGCCATTAATAATGGAAACATTTCCCAATGTCGACTTTATGAGGAAAGAACATTATTTGGAAACACTGATACAAGCTCCTAGGCATCAGACAGGAAGTTGAAACGATCTTCTAAAACAATGACATTAAGTATACAAACAAATCAGTTAGAACGTGGCAGAAAGACAGCAAAGTCTGTTTGAGTGACTCACTGACCTCAGCAGAACATTGTCCTCCAGTTTTAGGTAAAGTGTTTGACTGTTGCTGATTATAAAAATAAAAACGGGATTTTTTGTAACTGAATTTGTTTATTTTTGTGGCATTCCTTCAGTGAACATCGAAGCTGTGAGTGCAGACGACCTCCTCTCTGTTGTCCTCTACCTGTTGGTGAAAACAGAAATCCCCAACTGGTGAGCCAGCACCACATTTATTCTGAACTTCTAACTAAAATCTAAACTCAAACTGAAAAACATGAAGAAGGAAAATCCTTTCAGGTAACAACTTCATCAAACAGGACATGATGCTTTAGATTTTCAATATTTACTATTAATAATTTGTTAAAGTTGTTTTTATCTTTGCTGGCTGAGAAATAAGTTTTATTTTGAAAAGATTTTAGACGTTTTGCATCAAAATAGCCACACATTGTTGTCTGATTTTTTTTATTTTTATACCTGAATTTTAGCAGATCAACACATAATCTTGGTTGGGGCTTTACATTGTTAGCCACCCCTCGAGTTTAGTACTTATGAAATGTGAGACACCGACTTAGGAGAAAACTGCACTGATGGTAATAACTTTAAAATGTATAAAATGGGGCAGTTTTTAGAACTTGCCTAAACATAATTCTGTCATTTAAAAACATTGAGTACATTTTTGATGGTTCTTCTAGATGATGTTTTACTCTGTTTTCGGTCTCTTATAGGAGACAATGTTTAAGGTTTTGTGGTTTTCTTATTTGCAGAAATGTTTTATTTTCAAAGCAAACTTGCATTGAGTAAAAAATTAAGTAACAATTATCAGAGTGTAAATAACTTGTGGTTGGGCTGAAAATTTAGGAATCAGAGACCAAAACATTTTGATTATAAAAGTAGTGACACATATAGTTTGAAACTTATAGTTTTGTGTTGTTATATAGCAGTTAGCACACTTTATTTCCCCTGTGAAGAACTTCTCAAAATCTGACACTTTAGACTACATGTTAGATTTAGCAAAAAAAAAAGTAAAAATTTGAGAAACAATAGCCATTGTTTAGTTTAGTTGAGAATTATTACCTTTTTTTACGGTGTGACTTCAAGATAATGTTCTGAATTTAGTAAAGGCCCAATTAGTCATTTTTGTTGGAAACCTTTTTTTATTTTGCAGCACTTCCCCCAACACAGATCAGTGTTAGTCAAATATGGTCCAGATATAAGGTTCAAATATGGTCAGATTAAGATTGGATCGAGGGGAACGAAGCTGTCCGAGTGGAATGGTTGCTGCTGGTCTTATCAGTAGTTCTTGGGGGAGCTAGAACCTGATGTGTCTCGCACCACTTTCCATTGAAGGCATGGAAGATTTGTGTATATTTGGATTTATAACTGGATTTCTGCTGATCGGAGCAGGCGAAGTCCTGATCTATCGAAAAGTGAAAGCGATCCTAACAGCGGTCCAGGCCATTCAGAAGCTGTTGGGTGCATTGGAAAGCTTGTGCCGGGCTGGAAGCACACAGACTCAGCAGCTGGGGGAGATAAGCCACAAACCGGATGTGGTTCTGACGAGGATCAGGATTACATCTGGGTGAAGCTTCAGTCGGTGAAGAGGCGAGAGACCCCAAAATTCGGCTGGTTGAAGTTTTTTCGCCACTTTCAGAGATGCAGTTAAGACACTAAAAACTACAGAAAATTTCAAGGCTACTTTGTCCCAAAACAATTGTGTTTATCTATTCGGCTCCCAGCAGCTTTGGTCTTGATTGCCATGCTTATCTGAAACTCCCCAGGATGAAATGTCAACAAAGGCCTGATTCCATCCCACCCCCATCCGTGCTGGTGCTGGCCATGAACCCAAGGCCGATGAGAGGGAACTCTGACTCTGGCGAACTGAGCTAAATAACATCATGTGACTCTGGACTCTGGGGGGCTATGGTCGGTTCTAGTATGGAGACCCCCCGTCCCTCACCTTCACTGACTCCACTGATTCCCGCCCCCATCTCATGTGTTCGGACCTAAGCTCCCTCCCTGCCCAGGCTGTCTGGTTCTGTCTAGAGTGGTTTTTGTGCATATGATTTTATGTTTCTGTGTAAATGTAAGATCAGAGCAATTTTTTTAAACTCATCTCTCCTACTGTATATTGCCAAGCTGCAAAAAGGTAGCGCGACTCTGTTGCGAATGACCTGTTCACCTTATTCCTCCATGTTTGTTATGTATGTCCTTCTTGAACGGGTGATCTTAACCGCACTTTCGTTCTACATTGCATCTCTGATGTTATGTTTGAATGACAATAAAGTTGATTCTGATTCTGATCCACTAACTCAAACATGGTTGAATGTAGGAATTTTATCTCATGAGCCAAATCTCAGTTTTGTCCTCCCTTGGCATGGTGAGTTTAAATCAACTCCATTCGGTTTATTTATATCGCACCAAATCACAAAGAACATTGCCTCACATTGCACTGTACAAAAACATTCACATAAATGATAAAAGCCAGTTTGTAAAAGTCATCAATCTAAAGAAGCCAGCAGGTTGTGCTGAATCTTCACTTCGTCACAGTCTCCCATCCTGAGCAGCACATTGGTGACAGCAGAGGAAAAACTCCCTTTTAACAGGAAGAAACCTCCAGCAGAACCAGAACCAGGCTCAGGACAGGCAGCCATCTGCCTCTGCTGGGTTTGAAGGACAGGAAGGAGTCACAAAAGGATCGGACCAGGTGTATTTTCTATTGAAAGAAAGACAAAGAAAAACATGTTGATATAGAAGTAACTAACACAACAAACGTAGAAAAACTCAGGAAACTCAACCCTAACTATAGCATTTATCAAAAAGGAAAGCCTTCAGTCTAATCTTAAAAGTAGACAAGAGTGTCAGCCTCACGGACAGAAACTGGAAGTTGGTTCCATAAGAGAGGAGCTTGATAACTGAAAGCTCTGCCTCCCATTCTACTTTTAGAAACTCGAGGAACCACAAGTAAACTAAAATATAAGGCTTTAAATTGTGTGACTTCTAGTTTAGAAGTTACTGGACAAAATGAAAAGACCTCAGTGATGGAGGAAAAGTTTGAGTTGAATACATGAGCCCTTGTTCCCACCATATAAATATAATCATTATATTTCTTGCAATTTGAGCTGCAGTTTGGCTTTTATTTACAGAACTAAAACAAGAAAAGGACAAAGTAATATACAGAACTGCCCCCCCACCCCCAATCTATTCCTGTCCCCTAAAGAAAAAAAAATGGCTTAAATATAAAGTCGGAATCAGGGTAAAGATAATGTTTAGTAGGAAAATATGCCAATGAATCTACTTGAATATCATCAGTGTTTTTTAATAATGTTTAGCAATGTGTAGGGGGTAGACTTATGTAACATAAGCCTCCTTACATTCTTCTTATAATTTAGTTATGAGAGAAGTTTTTACCAAGGTATTTTCCTCATTACTTTAATATTTTTGACTGTGCAATGTGAAAAGTGACACAATAAGGGAACGTTCAGACGAGTTCAAGTTGATTCATAAAAGATTATGCAATCATTTATTTACACAAATTGAACAGATCATAAGTACACCTGATTGTGGGTTATTCCTATAACAAGCGTCAGAGTTAAAATGAGGTAAAACTCGCGTCCGAATTTCAGTTCACATTAAACTCAGATTACTTATATAGAACAGTAAAACGTCAGTTCTGATGTTAACAATCAAACAATTTTACTGGCACTTTTAACTTAAGTTTGGCAGATAAAGAATAAGAAAAGGGGTGAAAATAAGGTTAGTGTTTCTGCTTTTATTTTGTTAAGGGTATCAACTGGATCAGCAAGTCTCCTCTGCGCTCAGAACTCCACATGACACGTCACCCGGAACACGACAGCGTTTACCTGTTGCTGGCTTCTTTACCACACCCCGGGCAAATACTGCCTCACCTCAGACCAGTCAGGGAACGTGTTACTCGGCCCGCTCACTGTTCCTTGGCGAAAAGTGTTATTTAGGCAACTTTCGTCTGCTTCGACTGGTAGTCTCAGTGTGGACAGTCGGCGGCTTGCCTCTGCCCGGGCCGTCAGATCTCCCCTAATTGGCTTATGGGCGAGACCTAAGGCCGAGCTGGTTCCTCCGAAGAGAAATCAGCCTGTCTTCCCCGTTGGCATCTAGGAAGAAAGTGTTACGTCTCTCAAAGTCGTCCATGTTAGTAAAGAAGCGGACGAATTTGGTTCCGCCCTCAGGCTTAGAATGTCAGAGAAAGGAAAGGAAGATAAAGCTTTGCCAGTGGCGCCAGTCAAGGTTGAAATTCTGTGGTTGTTTTAACAGAAATTTGATAATATCTTCTTTAGCTTTCTTTCTGATAGACTAAGAGAAATCACTGTAAAACATTTATGATGATTAATTAATATTTCTGTTTAAATAATCAGTCTGAAACTTTTGTTGGTCCAGATAAATGAAAGATTTTCTTAAGAAAACTCAAAATTATATTACTGATGTTTCCAGTAAAATAAAAACAGTGATTTATATAAAAACACAATGAAAATATGGTGATGATTTTCTC